CTAATATATGCTTCTAAATCCACTGACTCTAATACTTTTACAAACCTAACTATCGAAAAATCCCCGAATCTAAGTGGAAAAGCATCCACACGAATGAAAATAAAATCCCCGTGTGATGTATATACGGAGCCCCTAGCAGCCCTAAAACGACTGATACGGTTATTGTAGAAATATTAGAGCACGTACCTATTCTGGAATTCGACCACGAACTAGTTTGTGGCGACTTCAACCTCCCCGGAGTGAACTGGGATGCCTCAAATGGACCAAGAACCTACGAGGAGCTCCTAGAAGCCATAGATATAGGAGAATGGAAGCAGTGCGTACGCCTGTCAACATGACACAATCATATTCTCGACTTAGTCCTTTGCCACAAAATAGAGCCGATCTCGATAGAGGTGAAGGATAAACTCGACAACAGTGATCACAACATACTGAACTGCACTCTACCTCTTCAACTAACAACTAGACACACACCTAAAATTTCCCCGGTTTACTTTCAATATAGGGACTATAGAAATGCCTACTGGGAGTTCCTACCAGCGCCCTTAAGAAGCTCTGACTGGGATGAATACTTTACCAATAATAACTTAGAAGTAACACTTAATACCTTCTACAAGACAATCAGTTCGGTAAGAGACAAAATCGCACCGCTAAAGTCCTCCCTAAAGACACCACCTTTATTCATAGACCACGAGACGCGATCAAAACTAAGGAAACTGAAAAGAAAGTTTTATTTTTTTAAAGAATTTAGTGCATTACACCAGATACATGAAACATTTTAAAATCTTGAGGAGAGACATAAAATGAAGGCACAACTTTAGGAAAATAAAGCCCTAGGAGGTATCTCTAAAACTCAGGAACTCTGCAAGGTCTTGCAAAAACGACTAAAGAGGGTTGAAGACAACAATGTTAGTCACTTGGAACATGAAGGTATAATTTATGATGATCCCCAGATTATTAGTGAACTCCTTAGCCAGCGGTTCTCCAGTGATACCAAAGCACATCTGTCCCCAGTTCTCGACATAACCTGCAAAAATAACTACAAGTTAGGTGAAATCAACCTCAATTTACAAAATATAGCATTAGCGGTGAAGACATTAATAGCTAACAATAGTTGTGGGACATTCCGAACGCAAACAAGTAGTACACATCCGGATATTCATCCACATGTTGATCATGATGACAAATCCAAATCACTACCTATACAGCACCAATAAACTTGGATATCTACGAAGTGCTAAATATATACTGACAGCTGCATTTCAAATCCCACTGACTCATTCGATGGTTATATTCTGCCACTGCATGCTTCATTCAACATTTTGTTTGGGTTGGTTCACAGTCATTCTAGTTCCAGACCGAAAGGAATCAGAACTCCACCGTCTGCTGAATCATTAATACTTCTCTGCATATTTAACTGGATACTGACTGCTGTGATAAGCTTCTTGCAGATTATGTTGCTTAAAACATCGTTTACGGTAAACTAGCTAACATTACATAACCCATTTTTACACTTTCGTGAGTAGCAGTGAATAGCTGCACACACAGCTTATGGAGAGGCTGAGCACTTCAAGGTCACTTTGCATATTGCGATTGGTAGATTTTCTTTTGCGTAAACGTTGAGGCTAATACGTACTACACGTTATTGAGGTGGGCTTTGAAATGATAATAATAATAATCACATAAACATTACATTTTTCAGCTCAAGGGGACAAGTTAACATACGTATAAATCTTACAGATGTGATATGCTTGTGGATCCATCAAAAAGAATGTTATTGGGTAACTTAATCAAAAAGGTATAAAGTTTGAAGATTTAGTCCTTTTCAGTTTGGTGGATGGGAGAGGCAGTTGTGTAACATTTGCATTTTGCAGAAGACAAACTGCGGAAGATTAATGGGAAGTTTATAATCCTCCAAATCTATCATGGAATATATGGTCTAATACCATCCATTCTACTACTGCTTCCTCCCTTGTTCACATATTCATTATGTCTAAGATAAGGAATTGTTCACCTGAGGTAAGAATTATTCACGTTATATGTATACATCCTTAGATATTTCCCAATGCATCCGAAGGTCGTCGAAGGAATACAACCTCAATCTTTGCATGGAAAGATCATCACCAGTGTCTTCTGTAGGATCGGGTGGTGCTGAAAGCTGTAAAGACGGGTCCAGGTCCACTATCATGGAAACTGATTCACATATCGTGGATTAAACGATTAGTGAAGTGGCTATGATATAGCCATAAAAAATCTACAACTGTGATTTTTTATATGCATTGTTATAAACCCTTTCTAATGCGAATATGTCCTGTTTGACTGTTGTTCTTTTGCAAATATATGCATTTATGTCGACTACCTGTATCTCTGTTATTTATCATTTCGAGGACATTGCATAGTTAACGAAATTGATTGGCAACGTAGTAATACTTGCGTGAATTGCATCATAGTTGTAAACCATTATTATTTCTTCAGTGCGTCACTGAGCCTCGCATGAAATGTTTCAGTTGCATTAAACCCTGTCGCGCATAGTATAAGCATGCGTCAGTGTTAAGAAGAAAATAGCGTCAAACATGTGTTTGCATTGTAATAACGAGATGCAGAAACCCTTTTGTAAACCGTTATTAGTCCTAATGTTCGTGCAACATTTCAGTTACATTTAATCCGACTGCGTAAAAGATTACCTTTCTTCAGGGTTGCCGAAAAATTATACGCTGAGCTTATATATATTAAAAAATGTGGGACAACTATGTACATCAAAAATAACGTATTGTATGCATACTCTATTAAAGATAATTATCCCAGTATTTTTATGCTGCTCCAATTATCACTCTTTCGAGGTAGATCATTACGCATTCCGAACATGTCTATATCACTATTCGTTCGGCATGCAAAAGGAGGTAGTAGTACAAGAATACCGTTAAAACTTTTAAGAAATATTTATTTTAATAAATAATTTTATAATATCACAAAGATTTCAAAGTCAACACGCAAATTCTTCAATTGCACTTCGTCAAACCTTCCAGATAAAGTGAGCCATTGCGTAAATTACAATTGTAGCCTGCAAATCAACAACAGCAAAATATCTGTTACCAAATAATTGCCAATACAAACATGATAAATACCAAAGTACTCTTTAGTAAAAACTTTGTTTCTTCACTGTTATCTTACGAAAAAATCAACTCACACTTTTTTATTCCTGCGAAATCTTGTGACTGTTACCAAGTTTTCAAAACTCACAGATTCAAAACACCTATTCAGCATTCTGCAAAATATACTTCAATTACCTAATTTATCTTGTTTTTATTACAATAGTTAACAATTTACAGAGAATTTTAACATTTCTCATGCACAGGAACAATGAAATATGATGGCAAGTATATGTTCACTCAAAATGCTGAAAACGTCTGCTTTCCACAATTTTTCTAAGTTTTCTCGTTAAAATATGGTATTTATATTGCATTTCAATCGAAAAAAGCCTGACAACAACGCAGAACAACCCAAACACTACATCGCGACAACACCTAATTTTACCCGGTGTGCCGCTATCCATTGCCCCATATCGACCGCATGTAACGCAACACTCAGTTGTTACGCACGTTTTCGGCATATTCAAACAATAATGATGCCTAGGCTTATAACATATCAATTGTTTTAACTTATGTAGAGTGTGCTTGCTGCCATTACCTCTCCCTGTATATATATCCTGTGTCAGTGAAAAATTGTGAACATGCTTTTTCCATGAATACACTATAATCATATTGATGATGCCTGTTACTTGGAATCCCTCATGTGCACAAAGTGAGAATATATTTTTATAAGATGCATTTTATTGTTATATGAGGGAAATGACTTCAGGCTTTATTTTTTCCGAAGTATCTTTAATCCATCCAACACATGCTTGGGTTTTTTGTTAATGCGAAATCAATATCTCCATATTTCTTGATGTTGTCCATTGAATCACTAGTTATCAGATTGTTCGCAGAAACCAAAGACAAAAGACAGCAACCAATGTAATTTCACCACAAATCAAATTTATATAATTTAAATAACACTTATCCATGCCTGTACAATTAGTGTGTCGTACATAGGTGGGAATAAATGTGAACCATATTATATTATCATAACTAAATATGCCTACTAATGGTAGATGTAATTTATCATATTGGTGATGCCTGCTAAATGGCACCCTTCATGTACAAAATATGAGAATATATTATTATTATACATTTTAGGCCGATGTCATCACATAGATGACAAATAGTTTCTACTTATGGTACATTAGTGTTATGTATGAATATGAGGACCTTGTAGACTACGAGCGAATCTAACTAATGCGGTGGATAATCTGTCCTAATCGCACGTCAACAACAACAACAATACTGCCGGGCACGCAGGACAAAGAAAGAAGACTGGACGTTGATACGAGAGCTTTTACTGTCTCTAACAGCAGTCGAAATGTTAAACAAAAACTCCGTATTTATACAGTTAGGAAAATCAATGTCACATTTTAAAAATATTAACAAACCATGGGAATTCAGTAATTTAAATCAATAATCACGCAGATGCGGGAAATCAATGATTATGCAAGTGTGGGAAATAAATAATGAATATTAATGAGTCACCTGTGTATATATCAATTGGCAAGTGGAGAGCAAACATCTAATGTGACCACATGCTTACCGGTCACGTTAGTTGCACCAACGCTGCCGACGAAGTCAAGAGTGTCCCGAAGACTACTTTTTCATAGATTTGATCTTAATGGTTAAAGGATATCAGCGAGACATCACACTTTCAAAACATCACTTGACCTACAATCTTAAAGTCTTTACACCAGTTAACTTATTTAATACTCTTCAGAAGTTTTGGATTTCGTCCATTTCAATTCCACCCCTTAATACGTCATTTTGATTATCCTCATTCTTGCGGTATGTATACTGATTGAGGGGCGTTGATAAGGCATATCCCCTGTTTGAAGTGGCGCCTCCAGCTTTACCTTGAGAACATTTGCGCGGTGTAGTTGATTTCAGTTTGGCTGATTTGTTCCGTTAGATCTAGGTAGCTGCATTTGACGTGATTCTGGTTTCTGTTTGGCTTGAACTGTATTGATTTTGTTAAGAATAGTCGTCAAAAGCTGCCTCTAGGCCTGAAGGCACTTATGGTGCAGGAGGATGCTTGAGAATGTGTTTCATGTGAAAATTATAGGGTGCACCTAAAATCCTCCTGTTTGTGGCGTCTCAATGATTTCTGTAGAGCTTCGTTTCATCACTTGTGTACATATTTGTCGTTCACGAGTGTTTCAGTAAATGTTTATGGCTATAATCAGGAACTTTCCAAAACGGTAACTGTGGTAAGGAATTTATATTTTTTTCCGCTATAGTTTCCAAGTCAATGTCTCTTTTAAGTTGCTTACTGTACTCTGTTGGCTATTCATGAATTTTTTATTGACAAGCTTCTGTTTTCATTTACAGTGGTACCGAATGGACGCATTGGCACTTGGAGACAATGGCGACCAACCTGCCCTTCTTATATCAGTGGATATCAAAAACCTTTTTGACGGAATTATGTTTAGTCACCGGTATACCAGTTGGGTTCAAGTAGAAGATGCTCTAAGCAAGCTGGAATCAGTAATATATGTATATGTGTATGACAGAGTATACCTAGGCAACTCATACACATTATGTAATCAAAAAGTGCATACGGGACCATGAATTTCAAGAGTTGAAGTACAAATTAGTAGTCTTTCGTTGTACATATGGCATGAAGCGAAAAACTAGAGGTTCAGGTTTACGCGTCAAACCGTAAGAATTCTATTATTTATTTCTGCAGTGCAAAATACACCGGTTGCCAATCTGGCTTTCGTATACGCTACAAGGAGGACGAGTTTATCATTTCTCCCGCGAAAACAGTTCACAATCACAGATGTGAAAAAAGTCTTATGATAGGTGATCCATATTTTAGACGCCTGTCCGGGGATGAAAACGAGAATATTGCACCAGTTGTGAAGACTACATCTGAGGTTGCTGATGTTTTGGAATATGCTGAAGAGAATTTTAATAAAGTTTTGACGAGCACAGATGTGTATAATTTACGTAAGGATGTGAGACCAGGTAATTGAAGTAGTTTAAAGTTATTTTTAAAGCCATGCCTTTGAGATCAGATGTTATGCGCATAATAAGGCAAAGTGGTCAGGTGGTTGAATACGTGGATTCGAATACAGGGATAACCAGCAGAATTTGCTTCGCCTTGGAATCACAGGTTCAGTTATATCGGAAATATGGAGAGGTGGTGACGGCATATACCTGCACCAAGTGGATTGTACCGATTCTACTTGTACCTGCAGAATATTTAGGGCACAAAGAATACCTTGCTGGCATATGCTGCTATGTCACACTCAAATTCCTCAGTTTACAGGTAAATCAAACTCTTAGTAATATTTAAATTAATATTTTTAGTTGACAAAGTAATTCGCCTGTGTCGCAGATGGTTTTGGCAGGATCCGTTGCTACCAAGTCGTGTGCCGTGTGAAGGTTCAGTGAAGAAACCCTGCATGGAGATACTGCAACTTCGCAGGCAATTGAACAGAAGCTTCGCAGATATGCAGGATAATTATAGTAATGAATATACTATTAGTGCACTGCGAGCAACTCTGAATTACTTTGAGAACTTTCTTGTATAATAATGGAAGATGTACATAAATTTTGTGTCAATAAATGCAAATATACCCTAACTTCTAAACTGCATACGCCTTATGTTTTACCGTTTCATGTGACAGAAGTCTAATAGTCATTTGCGAATATAGTAGAAAGCATTTTCTAGAGAGCAAGTAAAAGTGAGTACTAGGCGGAATCTCCAGTACTTAGTATGAGAAGTAAGGTGAACGTTTTTTTCTTGTAAGTACGCAATGAAAAGATAATGACGAGTTTTTGTAACTAGCATTGTATTTACTATGTAGGTAATGTTATTACAGGCATACGTTGCTATAACGTGTCTAGTCTGGCGTATCGCCGCATGAGTAACACCAATTGTAGCGTTTTCCAGTCAGTAAAATTTCGACTTTTCGTACGTCAAACTTCGCGGAAGGTAGATGAAATTAAAGACTGCTTCCAGAAGATCCGTACAACGGCACCTTAGGCAATGTCTACAAAGACAAAAATAAGATAATTAGAAGACACGTTAAAATGCATAGGTAAATAAGCCGAGTACTGTTTTGGAATAAGGGAGATTACTAGTATTATTACAAGGTCTTCAACTCATTTCATTTCTTTCGACTGCTACCATTTCTTGAGTCAGCGTTACCTACTTATAGTTCATTGTAACTTCTTCGTTGCACCCTATTTACACAGTGCAAGGAAATGAGAAAATGAGTGCAATACTTAGGATACAGCAATAATAAGGGTATAAGCAGATTAACACTGCAGCGAGGTGCAACAGTAATAATTTGCTTCGTTCGAAAACAGTATTAATGTTTCAGTGTTGAATTCGCAGCATCTCGTACATTATTGTATCTCATCTTATGAAGTAATAACATCTCCAAGGTATTTCATGTTAGACTTAGTTTATATTTCAGTGCCCTCTGTGATACAAGCATCTTGTGAATGATACATGAGTACTTCAGTTATGCGTACTAAAGGTTTAAAAAAATCACTCATCTAATTCACTTCTATTGGCACTAATTCTTATGTCCGTGTTACTGACTTTTGGTTAATGTTTTCTTCAGTGCACTTTATCTGGACAATTTAAGGAATTGGGAAATGCACTGAGTACTTAAGAAACGGCATTCATAATTGTTTGTGCCAATTAACACTGTAGTGAGTTGTGACACTAGGCAGCTGCAGTGACAAAGCCGACTGACTGAGTTTTAACATGGAACTCGGTGGAGAAGTGCAACTTTTGAGATGTAACGGGACAGAGTGTAAAAGTTATCTCGAGTAGGAGGAGAAATTATTGTAAGACAACTCTTTTTCAGTTAGACGAGAACCGAATAAAAAATGCGATTATCATTTGTTGACATTTTGCTTATTTTTATCCACGTTTTAGCATTTCATTATACCTGGACTATAGATCATTCTGACAGACTGACTTTCAACAGAGAAGCTTGCAAACAAGTGCACCTGTTTACTTTATCACATTCCATGTAGCACACAAAGGTAGAGAAAAAAGAAATCAAATGGAACTCTAATGAGCATAAATGTCACGGAAAACGAACAGTGATATGGAAAGAACACAATGGTTGCTCAGATATGTAAGATTACACAGAGTGAATGCATCTGTGTTATAAACAACGTTTGAAGTAACATTTCTACTTAACACTAAGCTTCACCCCAATATTACTCACCATTTTAGACTACTTAACACAGAAGAAAGGGCACAGACACTGCGATCAAAAACCAGTAGTCTTTTCGTATCTTCCAGTTTCAATGGTCACTTCTCACAACCTAGGTGGACAATGTCATTAGCATACACTAAGTTGACAAGACTTTTCCCTGGTGAGTCCCTGAAGTGAGTGACAGACAATTCTGTTAATACATGTATGATGAAAGTGAACTAAAATAAGGACGGCAGTTGTAGAAATGAGCCTTGTATTATATCCTCCTTGGAAATATCAGTTCCCTCATAGTTTAGTTTCAGTATTAAGTGAATGGAATGCAATCTACAGATTCATGAAATTCACATACTGACGTACTACTTTTCTGGAATCATGGTTAATGTCTCCTCATTAAAGTGAGCAATGGGTATTGCACTTGTGTAAAATCAATAGGCTATGAACCGCTGCCGATGAAAACGACAGAAATTCTTGGAATTATCAGTTATAATTTCAGCTGGTTCACATGCAACACTCAGCAGCTGTTAAGTGGTCAATTCATGAACATGGAATCCATACAGAAAGCGCAGAAGATTTAGTACAACATGCACACTCCTGATTTCACTATTCAGCATGCACGCCGAATGCATTACTTTAGGGGCCTACACAGTTCACAAATTAACTCACAAAACTGAAGTGGAGAAATTCATATTTTTCCTTACTGAGTTAAATATAGCGGTTCTTGTGAAGTAACTTTCTTATGCAGAAGAGAAGAGCAAGGTATTCATAATCTTCTGCTACATGTGGAATCGCAGTGCAACTCGATGCGCAATAGTATGCATACAAATAAACTCAAAAATAAAGTCCTCCTGGTGACACATTGTGACATGATAGGAAGTGAGACGGTCAGATCACCAGCGTATTTAACGAAGTTGCTCTCATTAGAAAGAGAAAAGTCATGTAAGACAAGAGAGAGAAAAAAGAAAAGGAGAGATGACAGTACCCTGAGGAACACAACCTTCAGCAAGCAAGGCGGAAGACTTACCCCAATATACAGTATGCTGTATACCATTTAGGGAATGATAATGCAACCTGCACAGGACTCGTGTTTGCACGACCGAAACCTTACTCAACTAATATCATCTAGGTCCTTAGTCAATAACGGCATATGTTGAATAACTTAAAGCTCAGCACAAGAGTGATAAAGCACAAAAAACACTTGCAAAGTAGGAGACGAATCCCGGGTGGATGAAGATGTTACTGAAAGGTATTTATTTGTCATTTAATAATAATAATATATTCTCATTTTTGTACATGAGGGACGCCAATTTACAGGCATCATCAATTCGATAAATTACACATACGAATAGTAAGTATAGTCACTAATGATAATATAATAAGGTACATAATTATTCCTACAAATGTAGGACACACAAGTTGTAAAGCCATGCATAAGTATTATTTAAGTTAAATATTTAAATTACATGGAATACGGTTAAATAGCATGGTTGCTGTCATTTTATCTTCAGTTTGTGGGAAAAATCGGATAACTGGTTATTCAATGGGACACACCAAGAAATGTAGAGATATTGACTTCGCATTAACAAAAAAAACCAAGTATGCGTTGGATGGATTACAGATACTTAAGAAAATAAATAAAGCTTGAAGTCAAGTCCCTCATAAAACAATAAAATGCGTCTTACAATAATATATTCCCTCTTTACGCACATGAATAAATAAATAAATTTATTCTCATAGTACAGTACATGAGGGACGCCAGTTTACAGGCATCATCAAATTGTTACAGAAATAGAGCCATATAATTCAATCAAAATATACACGCTGCAACAAGATATGCTTTGTATGTCCGCTGGAGATATTACATACACTTGATAAATGTTAATCCCAGTAGTATAAAACAGCCTTTTCACTTATATACAATCATTTCTGTGCACAGTTGGAAAAATCTGCTAGATTGTCAGTGAGTGCAACGCATCGGAAATACAGAAGTATTGTCTTCGCATTAACAAAAAAACCAGGTCTTTGGTGGATGGATTATAAGTGCCTGGGAAAAAAATAAAGCTTGAAGTCAATATTCATACATAACTTTGTTGTGTGCAGAGTCCTCGAATTATAGTTCATTGATGTGTTATTTTGAGATCAGTGATGTGTTTATCTCATTTGATCTTCAATGTCATTGTTGGGAGTAAGTACATAAGCTTCGGACGCATTAATTGATGGATTTCTACTGCTTGTGGGTATTTTCTTAGCGTGAGGAAGGTTTATGAATTTCAGCTGTTCCGACAGGAGTTGAGAATATTAACTGCTCAGCAACATTATGGATATAAGTTCATCACATTATCTAAGGAGAGGTGGGTTGCAGTTGGTGAGGGATATATGGTGCCCAACGAGCGTTCATCTGTCCATGTGATGTTGTGGTGAGTTATACCTTTTTCATGTTGTCGGTTTATGTCCATTTTATTCCACTTATTGTGTTGGGTAGTAGTTTGACAAACGAGATTTCTTGTCTGTTTGAGGATACGTATTTTAACCGTTAATGTTTTATCTAGAATTATAAATATAGGCAAAAAAACAACAGGTGTAGTATTTAAGCTTATACATCAAATGGTCCTATAATTTCGGAGGCTCTCAGATAGGAACTAGAACTACTATCGTTTGCAAACTCTTGTAGTTTGTCATTAAGCACCTTTTCGAAGGAGGCCAATGTACTTGCTTGACGCATTTCCATTGGCAGTTTATTCCATATCTGTGCATACCTAATCAAGTAAAACTTTTGCCTGGTGGCTGTTTTACATTGTTCGATAGCTACTGTACCCTTAGTGTGTCTTAGTTTGTAGCCATTGTCATCTGAAAGTCGAATGCCATTAGTAGAGGTAAAAACTAAGTGGTTTAGAAGCTAATAGTAAAGTGTTAAGTTTAGTCTCAGGCGTCTTAGCCATAGTGTTTTTAGTCCTAGGGTATTACATCTAGTGGAGTAGTTCGCACCATTTTCGGTTCCGAGTAATTTAGCAAAGAACAAGATTAAGAACTGCAATTATCATTTGTTGACATTCTGGAGACCATTATTCAGTGTTTCGCATTTAGTTATGCCTAGCCTGTGTCATTCTGCCTGACTTTCAGTATGACTTTGCAAAGAAGTCCAACTGTTCAGTTTACCACATTCCATGCACACCACACAAAAGTAGAGACATAAAACTAAATGGAAGTTTAACGAGCGAAAATTTGAGGGAAAATAAATAGTGACAACATGAGTTGAATAGATACGTGAGATTACACAGAGTGAATGCATCTATGCCATAAACAAAGACTTGCAGATATATATCTAGTAGTTCTTCTAACTGACTGTCAACGATTTTATGAACCAATAGCAGTTTTTCATTCGACCGACCCAAACACATTTTGAACCTTGACATGTGCTGGCTAACATTATTCTTCGAGGAAGGCGATGGCTTGGTATGCAATCACGTGTTATAGCCATCTCAACCTATTCAGCTTCCCAACCTTGAAGACTAACTTACCCTCCTCACCTAACACTTTATGCGTAACCTCAAGAGCAATCGCCATATTATACTGCTTTAATCATGAGATAGAACACAGACACCTATAATCAAACACCGGTATTCTTTTCATATTTTCCAGTATCAGGGGTAACTTCTCATAGTCTAGGTGTACAGTATCATCAGTAAACTGTAAGTTGATGATGATAAGTCTCCAAAGTCATTTATAGACTATCCTACTGATATATGTGTGATTGGATTGAACTGATATAAGGATGACAGTTTGAGAATTCAGCCTTGTGTTACATCCCAATTGGAAATGTGTTTTCTCGGATAATTCGCAAACATTAATCAACGAATAGAAAACATTCTGTAGAATTTATGAAACTCATTAACTGACGCAATACTTTTGCAGGCATTATAGTGTTTCCTCAATAAAGCGAGATTTGTATATTTCGGCTGCATAAAACGAGTAAGTGGTATCTTGGCAATACCAATGACTAAAACAAGTCTTGGAATCATGCACCACAGCTTTTACTTTACTGAATACTCCAGCAGATTTGAAATATACACTTGACAAATATCAAATTTATACAGGAAGTCAGTAAGATTTACTAAACTAAAAGCACTTTCGGTTTACATAGGAGATTTCCATGCCGAATTTATTCCTCCGAGGGCCTACACAGATTACAACTTCAATTAAATAACATTGACGTTGAAGAAATTCCATTCTTCATTACTAAACTTAATGATAATAATAATGTTTTTCTTCTAGAAACAGGAGCATTCCTAATGTTTCATTTTATGTAAATGCAGTTACATACAGTTGCAATGAGAACTCAATGCAACTCGGTGCACAATAGTATATACACAAATAAACTGAAAAATAACGGGTGACTCTAAACTTTAGGAACCCAAAACAACCTTGAGAATGGATGAACTTGATGAATGACCTTGAATAGGCAATCGTCTGACTCGCAATGGATGCTGTACATCGTTTGCGCTGCAAATTCGCTCCAGAGTTTTTTTCGATTACTGTTTAGAGAACGGGCTGATAGCGAAAATTGAAAAGTTGCCAGTGCGGAGGTGTTATGTATATAGAAAGATACACGAAATGCATCGACGGTTATGTTTACCGTTGCAGGGAGTGCAGATGCAGAAAATCCATTATCCAAGCCCATTATCCAACGTTTATTGCTACCGGGAACAATACATACGGATGAGTGGAGTAGTTGCAGCCAATTATCAAATCTCGGCTATATTCATGAGGTTGTCAACCATACAACCGGATTTATAAATCCTTTCAATGGAACTCATACTAATTCCATTGAAAGTTTCTGGAGTCATCTGAAAAAAAGGGATAAGATCGGTGAACGGATCAAGAAATCCATTGATTTACAGTTATCTCGACGAGTTTATGTATAGGACTTGGTTCAACATAACTTTAAAGACTCCTATGTCTAATTGGGACTTTTTTTGCAACATATACGAGAACGCTATCCTTTGTAACTATTTTTTAACATTGCTTTACCTGTATATAAACGATTTATTAAAGTTATGCGCCGTTCATTTTAAGCCTTCTGATTGGTTAACATTGTCCTTGTCAAGGTCGTTTGTCCGTTCGTTCGTTTGGGTTCCTAAAGTTTAGAGTCACCAAATAACGTCCTCCTTACCTACTGAACAACTTTTCTTTATGACAGGATAATAACTTTCTTTCACGTATGAGCCTGAGATATGTCTATGAAATCACAATATTATATCAGTTAAATCTCGCCCCAAAACCAAGGCCACTTGAAACCAATAGCAACATTGAGACAAACGTCATTGAGGGGATATGCAATAAAGTCGCTCCTGATTGAGCGATTTCTAGCTCCATTTAATGCCTTTTTCGGTAATATAAATACTGTTGTACAGATTGAAAATGAAGTCGTTGTAAAGGGATATTTCTTTGCTGAACACATACTTTTTTTCCTTAAATGAATAGTCCGAAATAGTGACCACATTGTTAGATAACGCAGTCCTGACTGCGATGCAGACGGCTTCCTAATAGAAGAGCTAGTCCCATGAACACTGAGGTGTTTAAGTCTCGTAAACGGGGACATCAATGACTTAACAAGCCTCACAATGCCATCTGCAGACAACTCCCTTGACTATAAATTAGAAGAATCTAGCGTTTCGCCAGTTCCAGTCCTACGTTTCATGAAGCCCACGCGCTCTGAATCATAGATTTCTTCTCCAACACTGAACCTGATGTTCTTCCATAGTAAGGATGTGAACGTCATACGAAACCTCACACTTAGAGGGGAGTGATCACCCTGTACACACTACAGGTCCAGTGTGGGCCGAAACCCCACCTCGACGAAAAGTTTGAAAAGTTTATACAAAGGCTATCATCTCAGCGGCCAACTCGCTGAACTGGTACATCAATCTAAAGTCCAAAATAGAAGCTACGTGGAACCAGCTTACGCAACTTCACTCTCAGGTAATCGAATCTTTCACCCCTTGGACTTTAATAAATGGTGTGAAACATTGCCCAACATGGACAAACAGAGATATTCATAAATTACTCAGGCGTAAACATATATGCTGGAACTTATTCATCCCGGATGAGACTTCTGGGGTCAGAAATCTCTGCAACGTCGCTACGAGCAAAAGTGTTTCAGAAATCTGCAAATCAAGGAGGAATTGTGAAATGCATCTGAATCAGTATACAACGGCACAACTTAAGAAAATTTTCTCGCACATAAACTACAGGAATTAAATATCTAGTCGGGTCCCAAAACTGACTATTGAAAACGACACAATCGAAGAGGATCAAGAAGAAGCAGAAGCAATAGCAGAATACTCTATCAAAGTCTTTACACAGGAGTCATCACTTCCCACAGAATAGGTTCCCTTGACTTTCAAAAATGGTCGTATACAACTCTGTAAAGGAACTAAATTCATGAAAATCAATGGGTACTGATAATCTTTATCCCAGGCTTCTCAAGGAGCTATCAGCTCACACAGCCATCCCACTGACTACGATCTTCCTAAATGGAGTGTTACCGTGCGACTGTAAAAAGGCCATAGTAACCCTCATCCACAAAGGGGGACCAAGACGAAGCCATTCAAACTGCAGGCCTATTGTTCTAACCAGATTCAAACCGAGATTCTGGGAAGAATCATCAAGAAAGCTATCATGACATATCTAAAAAACAACAACTTGATTTCAAGAGTGCAAGATGGTCTCCAGGAAGGCTTCTCATGTCTGTCAAACCTCAGTGGAAGAGAAATCTGGATCCAATAAAGGGACTCTTTAATTTCGTCTTCATAGACTTCAGCAAAGCTTTCTGTAAGGTTCATCACAAAAGTCTACTCACGAATTTGAAAATTTTCGGAATCAGAGGCAGCTCATTGAAATAGATTAGGGAGTGCCATAAGGCAGAGTACTCAGGCCTTTCCTATTTATTCAGTGAGTTACCTGTGCTTACGGATCCCCAATGTTTTTATACGCAAATTAATTAAAAAAATTGAAGAGAGCTTAAGGATGACGGTGACATGCTCATGTTCATACGGGACCTCAACAAGCTGTTATAGTAGTCCAAAGAGTGGACGCCCCCGATCAATGCAGAGAAATTCGCAGCCATGCGCATTGGACACGCAAGCATCAGCTCCTACTAAATATAGGGAATAATAATGCCGTCAGTTCATGCTCATTTGGATCTCTGTGTCATATTGATTACCGAATTAGAAAATTTAGAACGTTGTCGCGCGAAAGCCGCACGTAGTTTCAGATCTTTATGGGAAATTCGCAGTGCCTCTACTAGAATTTATATATATTTTTTGATTACAGCTTGATTCCACACCGTGTTTTCAGTACAAGTACGGAATTTTCAGCTTGGATGTCGGTAGCCCAAAGTTTTCAGGCCGACCATTGATATCGGGTGTGCGTCGTCAGGGAATCGAACCTCAGACCATGTGCATGGTCGGCGAGAGTTCTAACCACTGTGCCACTGACGCCAGAGTTATGTTTACCTCCTTGTATGCATTTCTGGTGAGGTCCAGACAGGAACAGTGTATCCAGGCAGCCAGTCTTGAACTCATATATCCAAGGAGGGCAACCCGTGTGATTCTTGGCATGACTAATTTATCATGCGAGGAAAGATTAGACAGTTTAAATCTCATCTCCCTATCATACCGTAGGCAGAGGGGAGATATAATTGCAATGTTTAAAATTTTATCTAATCACCATGGACCTGATCTATTCTCCCTTTTCCCACCCCTCAGGTCGCAATAGCTTAGAGGACATAACATAATATGGGAGTTCAAAATCTAAGGAGAAACAAATTGCTGTAGAGCACTGGTTCTCACAAAGAGTTATTAACTCCTGGAACCAATTCCCAAAAGAAGTGGTATCAGCGACCTCAACAGACTCATTCAAGAAGGGTTTAAACAAGCACAGAAATTCAATGGGAAAGAGTTAACATAGGCTTCAAGCCTTCAATCTTCAATCAACAAATCCAAACAAGTCTGAAAAATCTCAAATGAGCTGACTAGACTACTAGTCTGATAATTAAGGGCAAAATTATTAGGGAACAATCATAAAACCTAATTTTCAAACTGTTAAAGTGGAATTAAAAGATTTTCTGTTGCTATGGTAGGCAAGAATGCAAGCCGAAGTCTGCTTGTTTGAGTGGTCTGAATGACAAGGCAATCTTGCGGCGGTCGTTGAATATATTGGAATCGCCGTGTCCTAATCACTCTTGTTACTTTATATGCTTATTTGGTAGTATTTGAAGTTTTTACTACGTGTTTTGATTCTATTTATAACTACCTTTTTGAAATAACTTAGTCTTTTGAACAGGCTCAAGTTGTCGCTGTCTTTATTGAGATGGAAGTGCTGCTGCCGGCAAGAGTAAACAATAGACCAAAGTTGAACGACCTTGACTTGACTAATCAGATAGCTCAGCATTACAAATGGTTCCTAATTTATTTTTATTTATTTTGATTACAGCTTGATGCCACACTGTATTTTCAGCATGGATATCGGTAGCCCAAATTTTTCAGGCCGACCGTAGATATCAGGTGTGCATCGTCAGGGGATCGAACCCCGGACCATGTGCATGGTCGGCGAGAGTCCTAACCACTGTGCCACCTTTTTGAAAGTGTCTCCTAGATTTGGTTTTTGACTGCTCTGTGGATAATGTGTTGATAGGGAGGAAAAAACATGCATTTGTGGAGGGATAATAACTCTGGAGAAATATTGCCGGGCTATTAATGGTTATGCATTCAGATGCAACCACTTTTTATGAGGGAGTCTGTATAGGTTAGTAAGTTGTAAATACCTGGTGATTATTTAGACACTTTCCTCGAAATCAAAGCTCTCCCTTAGTAATATATTGCGTGTATGCAACCAGTATCTGCTACAGCTGGAGAAATAGAGAATACATTGGTTTGATATGTCTATAACCACTTCTATGAGAATCTGGGACCAGTTTAGTTTTCGCTGCATGGTAGAGATATATACCCTATTGGATTCATTTTTATAACATATCATAGATACGCTTATCACCTAGAAGAATCTGATTGGCTGTTTCAGGGTCGTCTGAAGTTGGTGTCTATTCTTTACTGTTGCCTATTTTTCCATATTGACCATTATTCGACCAAGATTTCACCACTAACCATTATTTCTCCATTACAATACCATTCTTACTATTTGGCCGAAATCTGCCCATTATAACCATTCTCTGACCACTTTTGCCCGACCAGGTTGCTAGCAACAGTACTCCTAAAACTTTTATTTTAAATGATATAAGCACTTACATGTGCTTGGGATACTAGCAAACTTATGGCTGCTTAATCCCCATGTCGTGTGGTCGCACTCTTGAAACACTTGAGTAAAAGTATTTTGAGTATATCCCACTATTCTTGTAGTTTGTTATTAATGACAGTATTTTGGTGTTTTTAAGGACTACAAAGTATTGTTCATCAGCTGGTTAACACTTCGCTTCCACCTCGCGGACTTGGAGCAGAAAAAGTATCGAAATACGTTGGGCACATGAGAATGCAGGCCTTTCCCCCCGAGTTTCTCAGTGCACTATAATCGTTTGTTCCTTTGCATTTTATTAGAACAGAGATGCTCACTGAATTATAACTCAAACTTCTGAATCAATAGAAATAGTTGTGAAGATTTTGAAAGCTGGTCAACGTGGTTGTAGTGCGCCTTTAGATAATGGTAGCTTGGTATTCAGTAAATTTGGCACTATGACAATTATTGTTTAAGGTTCGTTAAAAATACTTGGCTGCCCAACCCTTTTTGAGTGGAGTGGGTTAGGAGCATGCAACCCAGTTAACAGTCATTGACCGTACTTATGCGTGATAGCTTCATCACGAAGTTGAGAATATATTCATCGACTTGGCAGAATTGTAGTTATCTGGACTTAGACTATCATATATCAAATAAAGAGCTTTGTGCATGAAGCTGGTTTCCATCAGTTTCATATATACATATATATTTATAGTCGAGCTTTGGTTTGTCGTTTTGGACTGAATAGATGTTAATCAGAACACCACTTTTGCAGGAGTGGAGCTGTCTCTCATTGACTCAGGCTCCTAATTGCCAACTGGGTTTGAATCTTGCTCTACTTGAGGAGTTTATGCATCCAACCATCGTTGTTAAACTTGAGTATGTACGCCATTAAAATGTAACTATTTAGATGATAGCGTTTTTTTAAAGAGATCATCCTGCAGCCATCGCGTGTTTCAGTAGTATTCAGTGTGTCATGGTCTTAATTTTGGTTATCGTCCGTGTTTTTATTTTTATAGCTGTTGTTTATCACCTCTGTATGATGTTTACAACCTTTCTTATTCGAACTAATTCAGTTTTTTGAATAAACAAGCTAGTTACACTACTTGTTGGTAACATTGGTAGTATACTGTAAGTGTAACCCCCATACTATTTATTTCTTACTAGGCAATATCTCTGGGCGTTGCTAAACAACGCAATCACCACCAAGTTTATATAAAAATGATGTCATCTATTTAAAGACAGCAAAGCAATGGTCAAGGGGCAAGATGGAAAAGGAATTTTATCCAAAAATGAATACCTTTTTGCCGGTGCTGTTAGTGGTTTTGTTGCCAGAGCTGCTGTACAACCACTGGATGTATTGAAAATACGTTTCCAGGTAATATTTCAATGTAGATAATTATCTGATATAGTTGCAAATGGAACCAATTAAAGTGTCAAGTACGAGCAAGTATCAGGGTCTTATTCAGGCTATCAAATGTATTGTTAGAGAGGAAGGCGCTATCGCCTTTTGGAAAGGACATGTTCCTGCTCAGATGCAAGCTGTTTCTTTCACTGGTGTTCAGTTCCTCTCTTTCGAAGTGATGTCTTCATGGTTACGGGAGGTTAACAGTATTCTTGTTTCGGATAAGAAAATATTGGGCTTGCCTATGACATACAAACCCCTCGGTAATTTTCTGTGTGGATGTGGAGCAGGAACTGTAGCAGCAGTTGTCACCCAACCTTTGGATGTATTGCGGACACGTTTTATTGCTCAAGGCGAACCAAAAACTTATTCGTAGGTCTGATCATTTATACAATTTGTTTTCCCTTTTTTTATCTGGTAGTGCTGTTATTGTGTTTGAAGGCAAATCAGTTAATCTGGGTTGTTAGTAAGGTTAACATGGCTTTTATATCCTCGCCATTTTATCAGAAAAAATGCTTATGTATACATATATATAGACCTGGGGAGATGTAGATGTGTAGGTTGCCCGGTTGATTCTTTGAAAACCTCGTCCATAATCCTTCGAACATATTCTCTGCGCATCATTCTCAGTCGATTAATTTCTGTATCATTTGTGTTGGTACATCGTAGTTTCATTTTTGTTAACCGTTCAACTTTAGCGTGAAAAAGATGGACATGTATTCACTACTTGTAACTTCTTAGATTCTGAAACTTTTCAGCTGATATGCATCTGACTATTCTCCTCTCTACCTCCATCCTGTCTGTCTGTCTGTCTGGATTCAACATAGAACTTGGCACCGAAGTGCAGCAGTTCGAGTTGCCACGTTCCAAATAGCACACAAAGGTAGACAAGAAAATGAGTGAAGAGAATCAATAGAGTTTTGACAAGTATAAGAGTGAAACAGAATGAGTAATGGTAGAAAGGAGTATGAAGGTTAAAGAGACTGAATACATCTGCGCCATTGACAACGATTTTGAGCCATGTCACCTATTGTCTCCAGCCATTGATTCTTAGGGTCCCGAGGGCGGGCCCCAACCCGGAAGTCTGCATCTCCCTACCTACCTGACTCAGTTTAACTGTCAGGGATTTCATGGATTGATGCCATGTTTTTGTTTGTCCACCACTTACTCTTTTCCAACCTGCACCTATATCAGCTAGTAATTCCCGTCGGGGGAGACGATGGTTAGGCATGCGCAGCACGTGACCTAACCATCTCAATCTATGTAACTTCATAGCCTCTTCGAGTGATTTTTCCTCTTTGCCCAACACTCTACGCCTAACGTCAACATTACTTACCTTATTATACCACCTAACGCGAGAAAGAGATCGTAAACATCTGTGGTCAAAAACAGACAATCATTTCATGTCTTCCACTCTCAATGGCCACGTCTCATCGCCATAGAGAAGGACGGAGCGAACTGATGAGCAGTATACACGTCCCTTGGTTGACAGCCGGATGTCACGCCTACGCCAGAGACGGTGTAAGTTAGCGAAAGCAGCCCGAGCTTTCTGGATCCGTGCTGTGATTTCGTCACCAATCAATCCTCCATCCAGTGTATTTTCATTACATTTCCCTGTGGAGCGGTGGCTCATTGTTCCAGGCATCCAACTAACAACACTGGGTAGTGGGTTTAATTGCTTCTTCACCTACCAAGGTTTAGCTACACAGATACTGTCACTAGTCCCCACATAATAAGTGTGGCTAATTGTTGACTGCATGAAAATACGAGTAACTTTTATCTTCTATGCCTTTAAAGGTGTGTTTGTAAGTGCTTCTGGTACACTTTTGTGCATTTTTATGTTGTTAAGTCGGTTTGCATCGTTGATTGATAAATATCTATACTTGTGTGTTGTATCAAGTTTTGATTTTAATTGAAGCTTAGGGTTATAATTTGAAACAGTCGTGTGTACGTAATAACTTTTGCTATCAGATATACTTCTGTGTTTGTTAGTAATTAATATTTGCCGAAATAATTAAGGAAAACCACTAATTTCTCTTTTCTTGCCCGTTTTAGGAGCATATCACATGCAGCTGTCCGCATAATGACTCGCGAAGGTCCCCGGGGATTTTTTCGTGGACTTGCACCTTCTCTCCTTTTGATAGCACCACAAACAGGAATGCAGTTTGCTATTTACCACACATTCAACCAAATGGTTGATCGTGTCAGGGATTATCTAAATCCTAATGTTATTGAGAAGTCGCAAGGTCGCGATGGTCATCGTCCAGTCAGTAGGTTATATCCTTTCTTAGTTTCTACTTTGTCTTTTGATTTAATGCACAAGACTGTAGAAAAGTGCATAACGTGGTGTAGGAGTGTGTATTGTTTGTTTTATAGTTTCATGATTATGTTGATACGAATGGATTGACCTCATGCCATCTATTTACTTGCAAAAAACATTAGTCTGATTTCCATTATATTCCTTTATATATGAAGGTGAAAAAATGTTCATTGGATTGTCATTCTATAGACATTCCACCCCGTGATTCCTTCTACAATTCTATACAGGTGCCGAACATTTCTTTCTCTTTATTTATTTATTTGTTTATTAAAAAAAGCAGTTGGTATAGTACAGATGCTCAAGAATTATTTACACGGTGATACCACCGGGTGAAAGTAATTCTAAGGAGGCAGTGGTAGTGAAACAGGAGGAGTGGCTGCTAATTCTTACCTCAGACAGGTCAAAGTTGTACAGGTACGTAGTAAGACTCCCCTCACCAAAGTGCTGTGAAACCCGGCCTTTGACGGTTAGGTTAATATCATGATAGCTACAGAATTGGTTGATTTTGGCATCCACTACCCTGGCTTTTACTTGACTATTAGAAATCTCACCCGTTATATGTTTGTCAGTAATCACACAGTTATCTCGATACATGAACGTCTTGACTACTTTTAAGGGTTCACGTGTGAGGTTGAGTGTGTTTACAGGCTCCAACCAATCTTGTAGCAGTGCTGTGCTCTTAGACGGACCAATGCACATACCGTAACTACAGACACTAGTCACCAACTGAATGAATACTATTTGGGTAGTCTGAATGTTATCATATAGCAAAATGGTATTGTCTGAACACTCAAGTTTGTAAAGTCTTCTCCAGGCTGCAGCCCTATACCACCATCATCTCGAACGTCTCAAAATGTTGTCGATGTAAAATGTCAAAGGTAATAGCGACATTGGACCCCCGTGTCTAACTTCATTACTGGTTGAGCAGTGTGTTGACAGGCAGTTGTTTGCTTCCACATGACCTGGGGGTGTTTTCGTGATAACGCCAAGAAGACGTTGATGAAAATCTGTGTTTTACAGACAAATTGAAGGCATCCGTGATACCAAGAAATATGCGTAATGGTGCTCTAATAACTAACAGTGAGTAGACGCTTGGTTGATCTACCTACCACCTGTACCAAATTTAATATGGTGTATGTGAATTGGTTTCTTTGATGTCTTGGAACGGTGCGAAGTACGACTTTTGTCAGTGTTTTAGGCGCAGCTGGTAACGCGATAATACCGCGATGATTATCACATGCATTGCGTAGGACTGTTTCTAAGATGAACATACCATTTGACTCACAGAATGCCTCTCTCACATCATGCTTTTTGTTACTGATTATTCGAATGAGTCACAATAGCTTCTGATTGTTGCCAGTTGCAGCTGCTAGTTCTGCATCACACATTCTGACCACGAGATCTAGTGTTCCCTAGTTTAGTACTGTCTGTTTCTATGCTTAATTCTTGCTCTGGATACTGTACTCTACCCCCAGGAATGTACCGACAGGTTCCGAGAAATTGCCACGCACTTACTTACACCTAGCAGATTTTAGCGGAGTATTAATCAAACTGCTTTACTGTTAATTCTTTAGCGTTTTGTAAGTGCAAGTAGTGTTCATCTTTACTCTGTGGAGGGTCAGTCACTAACCCTAAGCTTACCTAGGTTTAATAGTAGACCTAGCAGATGCAATCAATTTGCTTACGTCAACCTGTTTAGGGCGATGTTTGTGACCACCGCTAAATTTCAAGATAAACCTGGCAAACGCTTAAGTATAATCAAAAGCTAGATAAGTTCTTAAGAGGGAGCGAAAGTACTGTATGAAACTATGGTGGCTGTAGATGACGTAATTGTGGTCTTTGAGTCCAGGTTTGATCAGGAGTAGATGTTGACTGTCCTGGGAGTGAGTACTCAGTATTAATAGATAGCGCATGTGTGTAGTCACTTAACCGAACTCATTCTTAGTTGGATCCCAGTTTTAATACTTTGGTTCGTGAGCAGAGATCACGAGGAGACACTGTCTATCTGAAAGTTTTTCTTACTATTTTATAAACCACTAACTAGCGTTCCAGTCGTGTAATGTAACCTCATCTGCAGTGCTTATCTCCATACCGTAGAGATACTAATGAACAAAAAGGTGACAAAAATAAAACAAAATAGTTCATACATGCAAATACCAATAATAGTGTGGTGAGAGCTGTCTGCTAGCCAAAATTGGTAGACAGCAATTTACGTCAATGTTTACTTCCCAAATCTTGGTGATGACTAAAACAAGAACAAAGACTGCGTTGGTGGATACAAATCGCAGATATATGGTCTGACTATCAAAGAAATGGCCACAAAGAGATGACAGGTTAACTTTCGGCGAGAAAACAACCAATTATTATCCTATATTTACCCCGAAATAAAGGGAAGGTTAGATGTGAGGTTAACAACCCCACCGCCACTGAAGCTTAAAAGCTTTGAAGACACATGCGACTTTTGTATCCGTGCTGAGATTTCGTCAGCAGTCAGTCCATTAGGGTTGATGCAACTTCCTGAATAAGTAATGAGGTGGTCAGCACGCTCTACTGCCTCACTTCCTATCTCTGATCTAAGAGTCAGTGTACTCCAGCCCTGCAGTATTATCTTACATTTGATCGGAGTGAATCGTACACTAAACATACCAAGATTTTTTCTTTAGGTATTCAAAAGATCGCATTTTGTCAACGTATTCACGTAGGAAGACGATATTATTCACATTAATAAATATATATGTATTCCTATATTATTTAGTTATTATTCCTTTTATAACTTAATGTCTAGTTAATATGATTGTCCTTTATTTCTTATTGTTCCGCTTTAAGGTGCTTTTCAAAGCGTAATCGCTGGTGGGCTTGCGGGAATGGGATCTAAGTGTATAGTTTATCCACTGGATATGGTCAAAAAGCGTATGCAAGTGAGGGTAAGAATTTTGAGTGGTATTATTTATAAATGCATTTGAGTATTGTCAAAGTGTCATCGTTCATTAGAATAAGTTTATACTACTGCGTCGTCTTCTGTTCTGGTATGATAAATCTGTCTATCTATCCTATTTCAATTACTTTATCATTCTGTGGTAACTCGTCGTGACACTTTTCGTTGTCCGCTGACCTGAAATGTAGTTCTTTAAACACTAGCATTTGGAGGACCAGATTTTTTTGTCTTCACATGACATTATTACATTGTCTGCAAATTTTGATTTTTTTTATAGGAAGCAAGTTAGTTATCAAGACGTTGGGATCAAAGAATGGTCACTTTTATGAGTAGTAAATGTAAATAATAACGTTAGATTTTCATGGTAGTCACTATTGGTCCTTATTCTTTCATGCGCCTATACACACCCATTACAGATATAGAATTTCGGTAATTAAGTTTGCTTTCCGAAACTTGTCAAAATGGTGCTCAGGTTTGATCAATATTTTGTCGTATGAATTTGAAACTTATTTGATATTCACATGTGTTCTTTTATGTCTTCATATACGTTTAAATGACTTTATGTATTATGATCTTGGGGACTGTATTAGTTAAACTGAATCCTATCCTGGAAACTGTTTTGATTATGATTAACACTTAATATTATGGAAATATCCGTATTCAAATACTACGCAGTAATCTAGCTGAAAATTTCTCATATGTCAATTAGTCTTCACTAACCTTTGGCTGTGGATTATCGCCTGTCTGTATCTCAGATTTGATACAACACATGACTTCCTCCAGAAGAAATTTGCTGTTATTTCGGGATGTTTCGTCCATCGTTTTCTAAATGTACACTTAACATTTTCATCTACGAGCTTTGGATGTAGTAGTTTCCCATATGCTAGTTTTCTGCACTTGATCAGACACATTTGCACGATTAGACGACGCATAGCAGCAATGCACACATGTACCTCATTGATTGCTATATCTGTACAATGTAAAATGATCCATATATATATATATATATATATATATATATATATATATATATATATAATCACACCACTTTTGACAGATGGTCCTATGATATATCCAAGTTTCTAATATTTTTGAAAGAGTGCATAATTCATTCAGCCCTTCTCGCGTTATTAGAAGACTAGCCTGTAGGTTATTCTGAAGAAATATCTTGTTGAACTCATACATGTAATACGGGAATTAATGGTTTTGTTCACAAAACCGTTTAGCTTAAGCTGTTTAAATTATGAGATTATCTCCCGTCATCAAACTAAACACTGAACTTTCACCTGTGGGTGGTGTGTTTGAATCCCTCTCCGTTTACCAAAGTACGACAGTCAGATAGTATCACCATCCTTCACACAATAAGTGCGCGATTCATTACCAGTTACACTACCATGTATACTTTCTTCATTTTTATTATTTTAAAAGTTTCAGAGCTTCTGTCTTTTGTTTTCTTAAATTTCTCCACATAGATATAATGACTGAGGATGGCTAAATTAAGGAGTAGATACTCGAACAGACGAATGCCACCAGTAACCTTGAAAGTGACCTATTGTTTTAAAAAGACCCATTTGATTGAAAAAAAGCGGAATCAAGTTAAGTCTTCATCGTGAATTTTGTTCATAATTGGAGTAAAGTGCCTTAAACTAAACCCTAACCAGTAATTCCTAACCGCAGCTGTAAGCAACCTTAACCTGACCGAAATTTGTGCGTAACATAACCCTAACGTAAAGTTAATTGTAGCCCTCCTATCCTAAATTATTGTCGTTTGGGTAATGCCAACAGCCCTATCAAGAACTGGGAGTTATTCTCGTAATATCTTGAGCAAATATATCCCGTTGAATATACTAACGGTTGTCCTTTTGAACATAGTGTCATTTATTTGCTCTGATTAGAGGTTCCATGATCGTTGGTGCGTTCGTCCTTTCGTATGGGTGCCTGCTCTTTTAATTCTCCAAAGCTCTTTATCTTTTAATTAACCAATCATAAGAATCGAATGAATGATGTTGACAGTGTAAATTTAAACAATTGACATTTGTGAATCAATCAAAGTTACTTTAGTTTGTAAAGAAACGACGAGAATCATATATACTTCTAAGTTAAATACATGACTGGTTATTTTTAACTTCTCATTTGGTTTCTTATGTTATGACTGTTAATCGGGGCATTTCTGTATATTTTACTATTATGATTTTCCAAGTAATCAGAAAAAATTAATTTTTACTCAGTTTAGTTAGCGTTAAATTCATGTAAAAGTCAAACAAAAAGCCTGTAATCTGTGGTTGGATCATAAATGCGTGTTCTTCTGAAGAGTCCCAAGATGGTATGAAACACCTGTCTGATACTCATAGCTTTCTACTAGTTCTCTGACTGGTATCAATGCGTGATCACAATTGAAATAAATCAAATCCCTGCAAACTAACTCATGAAAGTGTATGTTTTCTTCACAAAGTTGTCATTTTTTTATCGCTCTATCTGTTTTATTTCAGCCTGGGTATGTTTCTTTTATTGTAACAGTCTGTAAACGCTTCCCTTTATTCTAAAAAAACTTTTGATGTATTTCCTTCCTTGTTTTTAGGGCTTTGAAGAAGCACGAGTTCAATTTGGTCAAATTCCCAATAGACAAGGTGGTTTGCTTAGATGTTTAATTGAAATATGGCAAATAGAAGGAGCTTCAGCAATATTTAAAGGTTTAAGACCCACCCTGTTGAAATCTTTTGTTTCAATATCTTGTAGATTTACAGTATATGAACAGATTTGTAGATTTCTTCTTTATTACAATCATTCATAAAGATATATATTGTCCCATTTTATTTTCTGTGTAATATATATATATATCATTCATTCCAAATTTCATGTAAATTCGATACCCTAACGGCGTAATGTACATGTTAGTAAGTGGATCACTTTCAGTTGATGCATCTTTTGTTGCTATTTATTCCCAATGTAAAGTAGTAGTCATCTAAGCGCCCCTACTCGTGAACTCATTTCCTTTGCACACACACACACACACATCGACTACTTGTCGTTTTCAATCCTACATTTCTTCCTTGCATTGTCCCTTGTATATTTGTCAATCTCCAGTTTGTGTAGTGATTACTAATAAACATTTCAGTCTATCTTGATTATCATATCTTTCATCATATCTCCTTATCTGATCTGGCTCCCTTTCATCCTACTCCTTGTTTCTGTAACCAGTATCGTAGCATGTATAATATTTTTTTTCTCTCGTTAGCTCATATTAATTCATTGGTTCAATTTACAGCCAAATGAAATGTTTTCTTTTTTTTAAAGAAGAAGAATGCTCTGAACAAAGTTGTCTTTTCCTTTCTGTAATGGTCGTGTGATTTGCATGTACTTTTGTTATTTGAAGGCATTTTGTCTATGAGTATAACATTTCTGTAACTGTCGATTTATTGCACACCTACCTACCTGTGAAGTATAATTGTGATAGTGAAAGGTTGTTCGTATAATCAGCAACATTGATGTATTATTATTATTATTATTTCCTTTAATTCCTAGAGCAACACAGGGCTTCAGTGGCGCGTCTCCACTGCGTTCGGTTTTCACTTGGTTCCAAGTCTGCCCACATCCTTTCATCTCCTCTTCACATGACTTCCTCCATGTCACCGTTGCACTGACTACCAACTCCCCGCTTCCCCTTCGGGTTCCACTCGAGCGATGGCCTGTTGTGTGATGTCACTTGATGGTTTTCTGAGAGTATGGCCAATCCATCTCCATTTCTTCCTGCATATTCGTTGCACAATTGGTTCCTGCTGGGTTGGTTCGTTCCCGGAAGCACCTCACCATTGCTGATCTTTTCTGGCCGGCCACCTGATCTTGAGTATTGAACGAAGACAGCTGTTGATGAAGGTCTGTAGTTTGTTTGAAGTGCTCTTCATGACGCGGTGCCTAGTCTCTGATCAGTATAGTGAGTAACAGTGACTTCACATTGGAGTTGAAAATCCGGATCTTATTGTTCAATTTGAGTGCTGTTGATCTCCACACAGACTTGAGAGTAGTGAAAGCTTGTCTTGCTTTCCCGATCTTCGCCTTGATATCCTTGTCATTTCCGCCTGTAGTTGAAACGATGCATTGATGTAAGTAATGCTAATTTTAGGTGCAGAAAACTTTTCACTGGCAAATTACAATATTATTATTATTATCATTCCTTCAGGTTCCGATTGGAATAGAGGACTTCAGAAGCATGTCTTTATTTCTCTGTGTTCTCGGCCGCCACTTTCAGCTGGCTCCACGATCACCTATAATCTATTAGTGATATAAGTATAAAACTTGGGCACTGTAGTAGAGTGTAACTCCATTATGGATAAGATTTTATTTTGATAAATCACACAGTGTTGTACAGTGGTATTAACTGATGACGTTTCGAGCACAATTCATTGCCGCTCGTAATCATATCAAGTCACTCACACAACTTTTTGCCTCATTTATAATTTATTATTTCCTCGCCACATAATCTCCTCCATGTCACCCTAGAACTTACATCCAACTCGTCTCTCCCCATTATTGTTCGGGTTGAGCGCCTGGCGCGTGATTTCACTTCACGGTCTCCCCATCGTGTGTCCTGTTCATCTCCATTTTCTTCGACATACTTTTTAACCGGTAGGTTCTTGGTCGGTTCATTGCCAGAGTTTCTCGTGGCTTACTTTTTTTGGTGATCTGATCTGTAGTATATGAAGAAAGTAGTCTGATGAAAATGCTTGTCATGAAATGACAATAATGACTCATAAATGTCTAATGACTAATTTTATTGGGACGTTTGTTAAGTCTCAAGGCCTTTATTCATCACTTGCCTTAATTTTAGTGAGTTTCAACATAAAGAAAATGTTACAGTGGAATCTTTAAAATGTCATCACTTGTTTACTAAGGATAGATAAACTTACTGGAAATTCAATGCTTTGTGCGTGGTAAAGCTGAACAGAAATGGTTCTCTAACGGATGTCAGCTCATGATGAAATCCTGTAACCAATCAATCAAATCCCTACAAACCAATACTTGGAAAAAATAGTTGCAGTGAATCAGAAATGTCACCTTTTACAAGTGTGAACGGCTGTTTGCTTATAATTATTTAGTTTATGGTATAGGCAGTAATATCTCGTTATATAATAGGTTTGCTTCACAGTATAGTCAATTATTGCTATCGGTTATAATTCGTGTTAATGAGACTAGCAGAATGCATATCTACTTTTGTCTGACATGTCGTTTAAATCCGACTGTATGTCGAATGACTGATAGAATTCAGTCTGCACCAAAGAAAGGACTAGACACATCACACTAGGTACTAGTGTCCAATCAAAACACCCACTACAGTCCTACAGGAAGTAAATCGCGAGCACGAACAGTTCACCGGTAACGTCCCTGACTGCAGCACTGGGTGACGCAGGTTTGAATCTCAGAAGGGACATGAGTTCCTTCAAGGTTGCAGATAGGCCTTGCTGACGAGTACCAATTAGCGCGAAACCTAGGTCCAAGGCTTCCTGCCGACAGCCTCCAACCATCTAATATTACCAAATTAATGCATTTCTTCTCTTACTTTGTGTGCTACATGGAGTGTGGCGACTTGAACTGCTACACATCGGCGCAAAGTTCTATGTCGAAAACAGACAGTTCAAATCAATGTACACCGTGATGGCGAGCTACCTAGAATGGTGAGCCTATTACAAACCTGATTGATAGAATTCAGTCTGCACGAAACAGAGGACTAGACACATAACACTAGTGTCCAATTAAAGTATCTATTGTATTTCATTAAGTACTAGTGTTGTTGTTTATTTTTATGATGAGTATGTTTTATTGGGAACTGTTAGGTCTAAATGTATTCTAAAACTGTTAAGAGTGTATTCCAGTGTGAAGATATTCAGATTGGCGTAAATACGAATCTGGAAAGCACTTCGACGCAATCATATATATCCAAATACGAAGTCCCTTCAACGCCATGCAAAGAATTGTGCTGATTCTTTCAGATCACGTACGCCCGAACTGCAGCGGAATATCAATCAGAGGTCCTCTGCCTTATACGAATTGACTTCGGACGAATGTCAAAGATTCACTGAATATATCAACTTGGTTGCAAATAAACGATCGCAGTCCGTTGTAACCCAGCTCAACAACAGCCTAAAGCAGATGAAACCTGAAGGCAAATTACCTGACAAACCCACGAAGTTTGTGTTCAATTATTCCTCAGTACCTTTAACCGACGTGCAACTGGAAGTCCTATCTCTGGGCCCTAAATTCTGCGATATAAATTTCAACGCCGACAAACTCCATACTCAGGTCCAGTTTGAAAATCTAATCAGCCAAACGCACGATCTCAGCCCAACTTCTGAAGACGAATTACAGAGATTCAAGTCAACAATCATGGACTGCTGCCATCAATACTTGAATACAAAATCAAAAGTCCGCAACCACCTGACGAAGCGGCACCGAGAGGAATTAAAACAGTTGAGAGATAACAAAGATCCGCTTATAGCTCGGCCCGACAAGGGTGCTGGTGTAGTGCTTCTGAATCGAAGAGACTACATCGAGAAAATGAACGATATACTGTCGAATGAAGATAAATTTTCCCAAGCTTCCAATGAAAGAAACAAGACGGAACAGATTGAGAAGCAGCTCACAGACGTCTTGAAGAGAATGAAGGCCAGTCAACTAATCAGTGGGGATATTTACGACCAGATCCGGCCAACAGGTTCAGTAATACCAAGACTTTATGGTCTACACAAGGTTGGTCTCCCACTTCATCCAATTCTGGATATGTCAGGTTCCCCTTACCACTCTGTTGCACAATGGCTAGCAGATATTCTGGAACCTGTAAGGAAGCAATTATGTACGCACTCACTCCGTGACACCTTCTAGTTCATCGAGTGCATACAAGACATGAATGTATCTAACAAAATTATGCTATCCTTCGACATCGAGTCACTTTTCACCAATGTCCCACTCACAGAAACGGTCTGCTTCATATGCAGATATATAGATGACAACCACCTCGATATTGGAATACCGACAACATACTTGAAAGAATTATTATTGAGATGCACTCTGAACGTCCAGTTCACATTCAACGACACCATCTACAGACAAAAGGATGGTATTGCAATGGGATCTCCGTTGGGTCCGCTACTATCAGACTGCTTCGTGGCAAGCCTCGAGAGAGGTTCACTAAAGTCAAGCATCGACAATTTGCAACTGTATAAAAGATACGTGGATGACATTTTCATTATTTGTGACAACAACAACGACCCCAATCTACTGCTGAAGACATTTAACAATTGTCATCCAGCAATAAAATTCACTCTTGAAATGGAAAACGAGTCAAGAATTCCGTTTCTTGATGTGGAACTGACAAGAAGAGCTGATGGGAGCCTAAGAAGATCAATCTATAGAAAACCTACGTGGAATGGTCAACTGACAAGCTTCTATAGCTGGGTGCCCATTCAACAAAAGCGGAATATAATTAAATCACTTGCTACCCGCATCCGACGCATCTGTAGTCCCGACGTTCTGGAAACAGAATTAGATATTCTGAGAGAAATATTCATCCAAAATGGTTACCCAATAAGATTTATCGACAAAAATATGAAACCAATAATTCGGAAAAACGAAACTTTGACTGCGCCTAAAAAGAAAATCTACATGAACTTGGATTTCAAGGGAGATTTAGCAAGCGATATTCTCAAGAGAAGGATCACATCATCTCTGAGAAGAACATTCTTTGCAGCAACGCTAAGAATAGTGTTCTCCAGTCGCCCACTAATCTGCAGAAGCCTCAAGGACAAGATCCCGCATCTGGCCACTTTTATGTGCATATACCAGTTCACCTGCTGCTGTGGAGCCAGGTACATCGGTCGTTCGACGCGCATCCTGTCCAAGAGGATTCAAGAACACTATCCAGCATGGTTGCGAAAAGGCAATACGGGTGCAATAAGGAGTGCGATAATTGAACACCTGGTCAGCACTGATCATTGCATTTCAACGAACGCCTCCTTCAAAGTAATCTACCGAGTCAAGAACAACATGTCAAAGGCAATACGGTTTCGTCTCCTTTGTATCGCTGAAACTCTAGCCATTCACATGGAAAAACCGGAGCTGTGCACACAAAAGAAGATTACTCAACCACTTCTACTCTCATGGTAATAATGTTTTAATTTTTTTTGAGTTTTGATTTTTATTTTATTTTGATAACTTAATTTTGTTTCTTTGCCTGTTCCTTAGTTGCTTAT